GTGTATAAGAGACAGATATATATATATATATACATATATATATATATATTACCGACAAGACACGATCTCCGATGAGATACTTTTTATAAGTAAATAATGATATGATAATTACGAACTTTAAGTCGTTTTGCGGTACTAAATAAATATATAAATATGAATATAATGATGATGCAACATTAACTTTATCCTCTAGGGAGGCAGTTTCGAGTTATGTTCATTTCGACTGTTCGGACAAGAAAAACCCTAAATCTGGATGAGGTGACGGCATTTAAAGGGACTGGCTTCATTTCAACACGCACGTATGGTTTCTTGTCTGATGAAAAGCTCCTAAACACCGCCTTCACACGTGCTAAATCCATGATTGTAGTAGTCGGCGATCCAGTCGCACTTTGTTCTGCTGGTGAATGTTGTTCGATTTGGAGCGAATACGTCCAACAATGTGAGAATATTGGTGGCCTTTTACCAAAAAGTCTTACTTTTGGTAAAATAATGACTGAGATATACTGTATAAGACAAAGACTGGATCCTACAGCCAAACCGTTTAAACCATCCGGAATGTCATCTTCTTTAACAAATAACACCCAGAAAGTATTTAAAGATAATTCTACTAGCAAAAATGAAGATAATTTTCAAACATATACAGAAAAACGATTTGAAGAAAAGCTCAATGACGTCATATTACGGGAGTTAAAATTAGGTAATATGCAAAGCGAGGATTTAGAAGAAAATGTTGGTATGCCAAAAGGAACATCTCAAAAAAAGAAAAAGATCAATTGGAAGAAATTAAAATTAGAAGACTGTAAACAAATTATAGAGGAAGGAAATATTAAATACACTTTCTGTCCAGAAGAGGTTGCACTTGAGAATCCACGAAAATATTGGTTAGATAAGTGTAAACAGGAACCAGAAAAATACAAATATTGCACATTTAGTATTGATCACACAGGAACAATGTTTGCAATTGATACCAAAACTGGAAAATATATTTCTATAACTAGTGCGAGACGAAGGGGTACGGCGTTTGAAAAGGATACAGTTGTTGTGGAAATATTAGGCAATGGAAACAATGAAGTCTACGGAGAAGTAAAATACGTTATGGAGCGTCACTTCAAACCGTGTTTAGAGGCGATTGTTTGCAAATTAGCCCTGCATACTAATATGATGGTTCCAACAAACATGGCGTTACCTAAATTCGATATTCTTGGTAAGAAAGTCTCATCACATCTGAAGACACGACTTATGATCTATGATAAGGAATCATTAGAAAATAATGGCAGTGTAGAAGTATTAATGAGAGACCGACCTAATGCTTTATTCGTTGTTAGGTACCTAAGATGGTGTCCAAAGTTCATTTATCCCTTAGGATGTGTGATAGAACGACTGCCGCCCGGGGATTCTCTTGACAGGGGACTTAAAATAATCTCACTCGAACATAATGTTGACTTTCAAAGCGATTGGAGTGAACCTGTAAAGAAAGAGCTAAATATGAAGTTCAAAAAAGGGTGGCAAATTCCAAAGGATGAAATACGTGACAGATTGGACTTAAGACAAAAGGAGTGTATATTTTCAATTGATCCCACTAAGGCAAGTGATCTTGATGACGCACTAAGCGTTAAAGAATTACCTGACGGTCATTACAGAGTTGGTATCCATATTGCCGACGTTTCATATTTTGTTAAAAAAGAAACTGAAATTGATACAGAGGCGAAGAAAAGGTGCACCTCTCACTATCCCACATCAGCAAAACCTATTCCTATGATTCCTATGAAACAAATCAGAAGTAATTGTAGCTTAACACCAAATGAAGACCGGTTTGCTATATCAGTATTTCTCAAAATCAACGAAGAAGGTTGTGTGTTAGAGAATGAAACAGAAATTAAAAGATCTATTGTTAATTCCGACAAAAGATTTTCTTATGAAGAGATTGAGAAAATAATTCAAAAACGATCTGATGGACCTACTAAAAACCTGACGAAGCAAATAAGATTATTTAATGAACTCGCAACCAAGAGAAGAAAAATTCGATTGAAAAGTGGTAGGTACTGTTACAACCATGATGATGTCACTGATGACCTAGACTGTCCACTGGCATATTCACTTGTAGAAGAATTCATGCTACTTGCAAATGAAGTAGTTGGAAAATTTCTAATCTCAAAGTATCCAAAGTGCGTTCCAATAAAAAGACAATTATCGCCAGATTCCGATAAAATGCAGAAATGGATTAAAACTTTCCATGGTCCAATCAAAAATAGTTTGGAAATGTCAGCTAAGGCAGAAAAGCAACCAGACGACTTATCTGACAACATGACTTTGACTAAAGACGTTTGGCACAAACTAGTTGGCTTGTTAAACAAACAGCAAAATATTACGCCTACACCTAGATCCGAGGATAAAGTCTTTTTCAAAATAATTGATTTAGTGGCAAATGACATGCTTCATCCACAACTAATGATAATGAAGTTGAAACATTACAACATTCAATGTAAGTCTGAATATGTTTGCTCTGGTCGAGATGACACGAAGCATCATTCATTATCAATTGAACTCTACACACAATTCACGTCGCCTATTCGGAGATACATCGATCTGGTTGTGCATCGTCTTCTCGTGGCAGCACTGAAGGGAGTCAAACAACCTCCTTACATGTCTGAAGATATTGAAGACATTTGCAATATTATGAACGAAAAAGCTTTAAATGCGGAACGTTTCGAACGGCGAACAAAAGATTTCGTATTGGCACTTAATCTGAAAGAACATGGTGCACTTCCTTATCAACCAGTCATCGACAGTGTAGATGATACAAATATATACCTAGCATTCCCACAGTCTTACATCAGTCGATGTCAAGACCCTCTAAGGTTTAACTATTTGAAACCATTCGGAGGCGTTGTAACAGACAATGAGATATCGACTGCAACATGGAAGATAACTCTTTGTAATGCAGGAGATCAATCAAGCTTACTAACATCCGTAAAGGAAAATGAAATGTCACGATTAGACCCTGCTAGATATGAGGTTGAGATGAAGAGTAAATATTGGCAGAATTTGGTAGATGCCATTATATCAGGAACTCAACAAGACGTAAATAATGCTTTGCCCGGTTGCATTGAAGATATAAAGATACAATGTCAATCGAGAAAACATAAACACTTGGTTGACACGGTAAAATACGAAAAATTTGAATGTACGTTTCAACGCTTTGATGTGATGCGTGTTCACCTAGCTCCTGAACTTCGAAATGGGATGCTTCAACCAACCATCCAGCTTGTTAGTTTAGCTGACAACGTGGATGTGTGTGTTGAGCATCGCAAAAATCCTGTTATGTGTTTCTCTCAACTGGCAACGGAAAATCCTCGTGGTTCAAAAAATATTGAACAGTACAAAAAGAGATGGCTTTCAGTTTTAGCGATGTGCTCAGCTTATGGTGCCGTGCACGAAGACAACGCAACTATTATCAGAGATGTGTTCATCTTGTGGCAGAAAAATGACAGCGGATTATTCACAGGCTCATTTATGCTTCAGAAGGAATTCTGTGATACCAATGTCTTACGGTAAGTAAAATTGTTGCATTTCAAAGGCGATAATTATGCATATTGAAAACGTAATTTTAACCTTTGTTTTAGTTAATTATTAATAGTTATAAATATATTTCATTTTATTTGTATTGGTTAATATATTGTAAATGTTTGGTTTTTTCCAGATTTTTCGGAAATTCAAGGAAAAAGAGAAGAGAGGAAATTGAAAATGACTACGACGAAGATGATAATGATGGTGATGAGGATGATGATGATGATGATGATAATGAAGATGATGATGTTCCTCCAGTTTTGGACTACCTTTGCATCCGTTACTCTAATCTCCAGTGTCTACCACGCCCTATAGATAGCAAACCTACTCATTTGAAAGGAAAATCAACTTCTGTTTGGGTTGGTCATTGTTATACAACTGATGTAAATGACAGTCAAACATGTTTGATGGTCGAAATAAAGCTTCATCAATCTGCCATACAACTTCCATTTTCTCAAATATTGAAACAAGAAGCTCTATGTACCGTAGAGTTAATCCCTAAAAGTACGCCTGATAGGTAAGTCCCATATTATGATGCAGTGCCTTCATAAACATAAATCCGTGTGAGAATTGTAGAATTGTGTATTTAGTTACCTATTGTGGCTAGTTCGAAGGCATCCTGCCAGAAGTAAAATGTGGAATCAAAAAAGCAGAATAAAATAAAGGTTTGATATATCGAAACTTATAACTGAATGGTTTACCGTATAGTAAATGAGGTAAATTCACAACAATCGAAGAATACAGTTTAAGATGAATTTATATTTTGACTTTTCTACTTTATTCTAATTTAAGCCCAAAACTAATTAGAATAAATTTCTTTATTCTAAGGCGGACAGAAGCAGCAGTGCTCGCTTTAGGGTCAAATGAGACATCAATTACAAGGTGCATTGTCCTTCACGAAGACATTATTTCAAATGGAGGTCAGTTAAAAGAGAACTGAAGCAATCATCATTATCTTCATCTACAATTCCGTATTTACTTAACAAATTTGTATATAATTTTGTTCATTTGTAACAATTTTTTTTGTAACAATTTTACATCGCTTATGTAATGTTCAGAGACAACTCGTTTGTTGCTATCATTATCAGCTCTATCAACATCATTGTTCTTTTATTATTAACAAATTAATACCATTTTGTCAGTCTACGTACCATCCTGTCACAAAAATCTCCAAGATCCAGAAATATTTTAATGAACAATAATAACTCAGCACTAAACCTCAATAATGTTTTTTTTTCTCCTCCAAGATTGACTATTGCAATTCACTGCTTTTTGGTATTCCACAGGTTCAGTTAAAGACTTGCTGTCTGTGCACATTGAACAGACCACGTATGACCTAATCTCAAACAACTTCATTGACACATGACAATTCAAGGGCTATTCTTTTTAGGACTGATCTCATTGCATTGTCTTATTTTTCTACATGTCCTCTTAGCTGTGACAACTCGCCCTTTACCCAAACAATTTGGCTTCAGGTAGCTTCTATTCTCTGCTCCTAATCTGTGGCATGAACTTGGGATTTTTAGGCCTATTTGATAGGCCTTCCTTTTTCACGCCGTGGTAGACCACGGAGGTAATGTTACTAAAAAAAAAATCACATATTCCTAACAGCAGGTCTTGTGAACATATTTTTTTCTTTAAAATGTTCGCAAAGGATATATCATTTATAAAATAACTGTACATTAAAAAGGTAACATGGCCTCATTTCAACGGAAAACCCAGAATAATACAACTTTCCCTGGCTTAAGGCTGAAAGTACTCAAATTAAATCAATAAATACATTGTATTATATTTATTTCATTGATCATATAACCTTATATTTGAAGTGTCACATGACCCTTCTTACATGGCTTGGGCAAAGTGCCCAGTGGTCTCAATGAATCATTGAATGTCTGGACAATCCAGAAAAAATACAACTTGCCCTGGCCCAAGCCGGGCAAGTGCCCATTTTCAAATAATAAAAACATTGGATTTTATTGATTTTATTTATCAAATAAATGTAAATTAAAAATTTCACTTGCCCAGGTTCAACGCGGGAAAGTACTTGGTTAATATCAAGAAAAAAATTGTATTATATTTATTTCATTTACAACATAACCGTATATTTGAAGTGTCACATGACCCTTTTAAACGACTTGGGCCAGGTGCCCAACGGTTTCAATGAGTCACTTTGTCTGGACAATCCAGAAAAATACAACTTTTTCTGGCCAAAGTCAGGCATGTGCATATTTTAAATCATACTAAGCTTTGTGGCACTTCAAATATACAGTTAGGCCTATGTTATAAATTAAATAAATATAATACAATTTATTTACTATATTTAAATCAAGTACTTTCTCGCCTTGAGCCAGGGCATGTGTATTATTGTGTGTTGTCCAGACATTCGTTGATTCATAGGGACCATTGAGCACCAGTAATGGGGCCAGATTTAAAGGTGAGGGAGGCTATAGCTCCCTCGTCGGGGAAGCCTACCCCACCTTGGGGTAGACGAGTGCATTCCATCATAGAATAAATTAAATAAATATAATACAAATTAGTTACTTTATTTAAATCAAGTGCTTGTACAATTTATTTACTTTATTTAAATCAAGTACTTGCCCGCCTTGAGCCAAGGCAAGTTGTATTATTGCGGTTGTCCAGACATTCGTTGATTCATGGGGACCATTGAGCACCAGTGGTGGGTCCAGATTTGAGGGGTGAGCAGGCTATAGCTCCCTCGTCGGAGAAGCCTGCCCTACCTTGTGGTAGAGGAGTGCATTACATCATAGAATAAATCTAATTTTACATACCTGTTCGCTTACCATCCTAATCTCCTTAATTGATCTATTTGTGTTCTGTTTGTATTAGCATTCCATCACAATACTAACGACGACGACGACAACGGCGACGACGACGACGACGACGACGATGATGGTAATAACAATAACATAATTTTAGGTGCTGTTTATTGTAAGCATTTCTTTTCGTATTGAATTAAGTTCAAAATGTGCAAACGCAGTTTTTACTTCAAATTTGGAAGCTTGGGACCATAGGGCACTTGTGACATGATGTTTAAATGAGGCCATGTGATCTTTCTAATTTACAGTTATTTTTTGACGGAAAACGAATATAATACGAGGTTTTTATTGATGTAAAATAGGCACTTGCCCGGCTTCGGCCAGGGCAAATTGTATTTTTCTGGATTGTCCAAATATTAAATGACTCATTAAAACCTTTGAGCATCTGCCCCAAGCCGTGTAAAAAGGGTCATGTTACACTTAAAATGTACGATTATGTGATAAGTGAAATATATATAATACAATGTTTTTATTGATCTATATTGTATACTTGCCCGCCAGGGCAAGTTGTATTATTTTTGTTGTTCAGACATTCAATGATTGGGACCACTTGGTACCTGACCGTTTTGTTAAAATTGGGTCATGTGACCTATTTTATATACAGTTATATGATAAATAAATTGAATAAAATACAATATATCTTTACTTAAAATGGGCGCTTGCTCGACTTGAGCCAGGGCAAGTTGTATTTTTTGGGGATTTTCCAGACATTCGATTATTCATTGGGGCCATCAGGCCCCTGGCCCAAGCTGTACTAAAAGGCCTTCTGATAAATGAATAATAACATATTTTTATTTATTAAAAATGTGTACTTTCCCGGATTGGGGTAGGGCAAGTTGTATTTTTCTAGGTTGTCCAGACATTCATTAATTCATTATGGGGTCATGTGACACATTAAATGAACAATGCCCTGTTTAACACGAACAGGGATGAATATCGAACGTCGAACAAATATCTAAGTTCAGCAGTAACGAATATCGAACGAGGAACAAGAATCTAATTTCCAGTTATCAAATATTGAACACCGAACAAGTAACCAACTTAGCTTTACGTTTTTGAAGTGAAATATAGCTTTATAATATTTGATTTATATGGACATTACTGCGGAACAAAAAGAAGGAACGAAATTCAATGCGGTCTAAGCCGAATTCCAATTTTTACCTTTCTGTAAACCTCCAATCCAAGGCTCAATCTTTTGCTTCCCTGTTCGCTGCTTTTTCCTTCCTAAATGACTATGCAGGCGGCCTCTTTTTTAACGTCCGTCACCATCTGTTATGCTACGTATTAAAATTACTAACTGTTAGGTACGTAAGGCCCTTTTAATCCTCTGAACTAATATATCCCCTGGCCGAGGTTGCGTTCATGTCATTGTTTTTAAGCACTCTACTCCTGAAGTTACTAGAACCAGTACTCTTTTGTATATTATCGTTTTCTGTTCTCAATCTTCCATGAAACTTGCACACGTTTTCCTATTCCTCAAAAAGGGAATTTTTTTTTAAAGCATTGAGCACTCGCCTCTTGAGCGTTTGGCTCCAGTAGAAGCGTTGTCAGTACGCTTACAAGAAAATACATGCCCCTATCGTTAAGGATTGATGAGGTAAGATTGCTGCCATGAACGCCTCTTTACGGCAAATAGGTAGTGACAGACCACGCTCATACGCAATTTAGCACAATGGCACTGCGAGTTAAGGGTTATACCTCTACCTTTACCTTACTTTCTGTGTATTAATTTTCTTTGGCCTAAACATCATAATTATTAAAACTAAACAAAAATAATATTTTTTCTATAAATTAGGTACCGACGACGAGGTACGTGAAACTTTGGACAGAACCTTCAGGAGTTGGAACATAGATTCTATTCCAGAGTATCCCGACGTACCTCCCCTTCCGTCACCAAACCCTTCACAGACAAATGCTATCGAGAGGGCGATTTTCCAGACGTTTACTGTTATTCAAGGTCCTCCAGGTACTTAAAACATAGCATTTTTATGCCCCCGCTGTTTTTTTTCTTTTTGTTATTTTATTATTTTTCTGGTTTGATGTACATCTACACAGTTTTAAATATCGTTTTTATCGTCTTCTGATACGCAGACGTCTCTTCTCTTTAATCTGTTACTCTTCCCAATTTTTTTTCTCTTTTTCCTCTGTTTTCTGACATGACATGATGTAGATTTTATGTTATTTTAATACCATGATTCTAAGTATGCTCTAAGTGAAATCTAATAAATTTATAATAGTAAAAAACACATAGTATTAAGGTCATAATGTTAACGATATTACGTTTCCTGGATCATAGGCACTGGAAAGAGCGTGACAGGTTCCCAGCTTGCGTTTTTCTTTGCTCAAATCAACGAACGAAGTGGACAAGTCTTGTACTGTGGTCCTTCAAACAGGTCTGTTGAAGTCGTTGCAGGTAAATTTACACCCGTTTATCACATTTTAAATTTTATTTTTTTCCCGTTTAGGCACACGCACAAAAACTTCCAAAGGAAATATTTTATGAGGCCTAGGAAGTGGAGTTATGTTTATTATTATTTTATTTAGTTATCATTTGAAAAAAATGATATCTTGCCATCTCATAGGTGCAATGTCTATTCAATGTTGTGTCTTCTTACCCTATTTTACATACCATGCTTTACCTATTTAAGTTAACAATACAGTATCTCCTTCTAGACCATATTTAAATGTGTGCATCCAATTGTTGTCCCGCCGCAATTGCATTCACAGTTACACCAGTTGCGTTTTCCCCAAACTTCTGATTCCTTCTTGGTAACAGATTTCCATTAATCTTGTTTTAATACAATTTCTTTCTTCTAGTTTTTAATTTTCTTTACGTTTCTTTTAATTTCTTTTCTTTCTTATCTTACTCCTTTCTTTTCATTTTTTTCGTTTCCTTTTATTTTCCCTTTCCTTTCGTTTTCCTTTTAATCTTTTCTTTTTCTTTCTTTTCGTTTCCTTTATATTCTTTTCTTTTCCTTTTCCATTTTGTTTTCTTTTTATTCATTCCTTGCCATTTTTATCTTTTTTTCTCATTTTCCTTTTTCCCCTTTTCACTTTCTTTTCAATTCTGTTCATGTCTTACTTTTGTTTACCTTTCATTTTCTTTTTTTTTTTAATTCTGTTCATGTCCTTCTTTCTTTTGGTTACCTTCCATTTTTAAATTCTGTTCATTTTATTTCATTTCCTTTTTACTTACCTTTCTTTTCCTTTCGTTTTATATTGATCTTTTTTCTTTCTTACATTTATTTTCCTTTCATTCTATTTTTCTCTTTTTTTTACTTCATTTCCTTTTTCTTTTTCATTTTATTTCATTGTTTTACATTCATATCTTTTCCTTCGACAGTTGTACTTTCTTTCATAGCCATAGCTTTCATTAGAATGCAAGTGTGTGGCGGAATCAAAATAAAATAAATTCACACAGTTATAAACACCTGTCTTAGGAGACCTAAAATTAATGTTATTAAAGAGAGCCTATAAGTAATTTAATATTGTATTGATAGAAAATTGCATTGCTTCAGAAACTGATTCTTGGATTTTAAGCTATGTAAGATGGCATTAAATTCTAGTGGAAATTTTAATGTTTTTGTTTTGTTTACAAGCAAATGTTTGTATTCAGAAAAAGCCGCCCTAGCACTAGAAGGTCTGTGATCGATTTCCCTTTGACCAATGGAAATGTTGTTAAACGTGTTCCAGACACTTAGATATTTATACGCCTTTGAGGTACGGATATTTTTATTCTTAATAGTGATAAATATTTCTGGGTATTGGTCTTCTTTATTTTCGTCCCAGTTCCAGATCATGATTTCTGTTTTGAAATGATTTATTTCTAATCCGAATTCACTAAAGGTTCTGTGAAGTATCTTTAATATCTGGTTTAATTCATCCGATGACCAGCTACGTACACTAAGTCGTTGGCATATCCCCCTCAATAAAATTGTAGAATCCTTCAGATGAATATACTGCTCTTTGTGTTTGATTTGTTGCCTCGTTTAGAATTAAATATGGAATTTAAAGAATAATACTCGCCTTTTCGCATCTGTTTTTAAATATCCTTAACGCATAGTCCATGTATAAATTGAACCGATTACGACCTTTGTTGCCACCTTGTCTTACTCCGGCAGTTGTTTCGAAATAATCCTTCATTGGCTCTTCATTTGCTAGTAAGCTGATGTGGAACTGTACATATTTTCAAGGATGTCAATATCTTCGGTTGTCTGGACGTTTGGTATCCTATTTCTAATTGATTGGAAGAGGAATGAGCGGTTTATTTGGTCGAAGGCTGCTGTGAGATCTATATAGCAGCTGATTGAGCTATATACGACCTCCTGAAGTTGTTTTAGTACGAAAATCTTATGGTTACACCCAGAGCCAGACGGGAATCCAAATTGTGTGGTCAGGAGCTGTATGTTTCAAGACGATTTTTAGGATATCTCCTCTGACATCGAGAGAAACTTTTCCGTTATTCAGACTCTCTATAGCAATTTTAATTTCTGGTAGCGTAGGAGGTAAATTGTTAATATCATTTACGTGGCTGTGCAGCCGTGTTATGCACTCCGGTGGTTTTTTTTTTTATATTGTCTGGCATTGTCAGGTGTGAATGGTCTGGGTTGAAGTGTTCTTTAAAATGTTTTGAGAGACCTGGACATATTTTATTTCGGGGTTTGGTATTGATACATTTCTCATGCGTCTTTGCATTGCGCCATAGTTTTGTGACATGTCTATGCTGTCTTGCTTCATTGTGTTTGTGTCTCTCCTCTTTTAGCATTCTGTTTTTTATTTCTTTGGTTGTTTTTTTTTTATTGGTGATCTGCTATGAGCGGATCACCTCTTGTTATTGTCAGGATCATCTTCTTCTATTTGGTGATCCGCTATCACCTCTTGTTATTGTCAGGATCATCTTCTTCTATTTAGTGATCCGCTATGAGCTATGATCTTCTTCTACTTATTATTCTTCTTTCTTTCTCCCAAAATTTGTGAACAAGATATCTCAAGATTGCTTTGACCTATTAACATGAGATTTTAACCATCATTTGTCTTGACCTGGAATGGATACAGTAAGCTTTTCAACATGATCGGTCACGCGTAACGTCATCTACGCGCAATTTTACTGTTTTTTAAAGCAATTTTTTTGATTGATCATAGAATCATCATCGTCATCATCCTTAGGACTTTGTTGTTGAAACTTGACACAAATATACTTCATGTCAAGTACTAAAAATATGCATAGTACTTTCCAATTTGCGGCTCGCGATGCTCAAAATCACGTTTTGACTAAATTTGTGTACGAATCTGGTAATTCTGAGCATTTCAACTTTTTTCAAATTTTAGGGGTCGCCCGCGCATTTTTGTGCGTGTAGCGCCTACAGATGCTTCAAATTACAAGTTTTGACATATTTTGAGTTCCTTACACTATAATGACATATTTGCATTCTTTTTAGTTATGTTACGTCCAATAACAGTGCCGTACGCACACATCAAAGATATGAGTGCATTTGCGCGTTTTTATCGATTTCCAGTGAAAATACATCAAAATTATGCCTATTTTTAATCAGTTATACCTCCTCAGGATGAACAGTGACCCCCAAATTTTATTAAATTTTTAGAAAGGTAGTGAGTTGTAGATATGATTTTTTGTATCATAATGGCTGATCGCATATTGTGACGTCACCATAATGGCATCTGAATTAAAAAAATTTTCATCTATCACGCCATAATTTTAATGCGCATATACGCGTATCTCGGTTATCCTTAGTTGATTTTCTCCCAAATTTCAGTATTTTGTAGCTGAGGAAATTCTCTTGACTTGAAGTCAACACCATTTTTTATTTTGATTACGTCATCATCATGAAAATTTTTTTTAAAGGCACACCACAGATTTGTATATATTTGCGTGTTATGTCTTGTTTTCTTTCTCTCCAATTTTTTGGACAAGATATTTCAAGATTGCCTTAACGTATTAACATTAAAATTTTCAACAATCATTTGTCTTGACCTAGAATGGATACCATAAGCTTTTCAACGTGATCAGTGACGTCATGTACGTGCAATTTTGCGTTTTACGTTGCAAATTTTTTTTATTGATCATAAATTCATCACCGTAAAGAGTTTTTTTTTATTGAAACTTGACACAAGTACACTTCATGTCAAGCACTATATATATGTACAGTACCATCCGTGTACGGTTCAATAATGTGCCGTCCATCATAAACACTATCTTTTATATTTCAACACCCACTTTAGATCAAGTGACGTGCATCGCTAAATCCATTTATTCTTCATAGTGTTCTTTTGAGTCTAGCGCCATCTTACGTTCACAGGCAATAACCTTTTAGGCGTAGTATCATTGGTAGAAGAATTTCTATTCTTTTGACCATATTTTGGTTATTATTGCTCCATTTCCTGATAGTCAACGTTTTCAGTGCGGGATCTGCGGATCACCTAACTCGTCCTAAGTTACGAGTTCAAATCTAGTTTTTGTTATATTTATTTATTTCTATTTTTTAAAATCATCTATTAGGTAGGAAGGAAGTGTGTATCTGAGTCTCTTAATCATTGGTAGTTTGTCTTTAATTTGTTTTAACTTATGGATTAAGAAGGTATTTTGTTGCTCATTTATGTTTATGTTTCTGATATTGCTGTTTACGAAAAACTGCTTTATTATTTCCTGTGCTTTTTGTTTAAAGCTATCGTGCAGATAGCCAAATTCGCGTCGGCCTTTCTTTTTCTTTTACCAGGTTTATTAAATGGCGTGGCGAGCTTGGTTACGAGAAGTCTGTGGTCTGAATAGAAATATGAGTTTTGACCCTCACATCTTTAACAAACTGTCGGAACCAAGACTCGGAGATGCTGAAATCATACACCTCCTTGGTTCTACCATCTGCGCTGTGCCTCTTTATGCTGAAACCAGCTGTTTAATATTGAAAGGTTGTTTTTCTTGCAAAAGTCCAAGAAAATCCCTCCGTTTTCGTTACATATTTCATCTTCTGAAGTTTTGTAGTTTCGGCTACTAAATGAAGACGCTCTGCAGCAGAAGGAGATCTGGCATTAAAATTACTTTGAATGATTATTTTTCGGTTCTTTTCTATTTTGCAGATGTTATTAATCTCTTTATAGAATTGCTGTTTGGTAGATAGTGGTTTGTCTTTTGTTATTGCATAAGCTGTTGTTAACCTTATCTTACATCCTTAGACCTTGATATGTGGAGATATGGGCATAATACCATCAATATGAATGTACGAACATTAATGGCAATCCCAACTCCATATAATCGTGTTATTTTCATGCCTGTTCAATATACGTTGTAACCGAGATGAGTAACTGAACCCTCACTTAGTCGTCTCATCCTGTATACAAACTACATCAAGGTTGGCCTTTTTGCTTTCTTTCATCAGATTATCTAACCTTAAGTCGTCA